ACTGGATGCTACTGGTTTGAGAAATGCAGGGTAGTGCAATCTTTTTGATTTAATTAAGGGTGCAGAACACTTTTGCTCTTACTCCTTTCCCTTGTCTGGTTCCTTTTGTTTAGAAGGACAATTTGTGAGAAAGCAGTTTTTTCCAAAACTTTGATTCCTTACCTTGGAGCATTTGCAGTTGTGTTTTTTCTTCTCTTTAGAGCTTTTATGGTACATGTTATCATCTAAGGCTCTGCTGGATTTCATACTTCAGAGTTGTCCTGGGTTGGTTTTTTTTTTTTTTTGTTTTTTTTTTTTTTTTTTCTGGGACAGAGTTAACTCTTCACAGTAGCTAGTGAGAAGCTATGTTTTGGATTTGTGCTGAGAAGGCTGATAACATACTGATGTTTACAGTTGCTGCCAGGGCAGTTAAGGACTTTTCAGCTTCTCTGCTGTGCCAGTGTCTGCAAGTGCAGGAGAAGCTGGGAGGGAGCACAGCCCTAATTACTAGCCTAGGAGTCTGTCTTGTTTCAGGCGTGAGACCCAAATTGGCCATTGTTATATTCCATATCATGCATGTCATGCCCAGTATATAGATGAGGCTCTGTCTAGAAGTGCTCTCTCTCTGGGTCACCCATCTCTCTCGGGGTCGTCTCTCGCTCTCTCAGACACTTGGCATCTTATGTCTTTTCTGAGATTGCAATTTTGGGACTCTCTCTGCTCCAGTATTGCTAGCTGGGAATGGGCTGAGCCTTGGTCATCTGGTGGTGAGAGTCACACTGTGTATCACTCATTTGTGTATTTGTATATATTACTATTATGATTATCATTATCGTTTTCAATATTCTTGTATTTTAGTTATTAATTGTTCTTATCTCAACCCACGAGTCTCTTTTTCCTTTACCCTTTTAATTATCTCCCCCATCTCTGGGAAGTGGAAGGGTGAATGAACGGCTGTGGTGTTTAGTTGCTAGCTGAGTACATTAAACCACAACAAAAATGTAAAGTTGTGGGGTATAAATATGTTTAAAGAGCTGTAAACTTAACCTAAGTCAGCAAATTCTATTGTATATGTTTAAATTTAGTCAAGTAACTGCATTTATGTGCTCAAAATGTTTGTATTTGAATCGGATTAAGAGACTGGAGCATCTCTTCTGTGAGGAAAGGCTGAGAGAACTGGGGCTGTTCAGCCTCGAGCAGAGGAGGGTCAGGGGTTTGTTGTCAATGCATCGAAGTACTTGTAAGGAAGGTACAAAGAGGACAGAGCCAGGCTCTTTTCACTGGTGACCAGTGACAGGACCAGAAGCCATGGGCACAAACTGAACCACAAGGAGGTTTTCCCTGAACATCAGGAAACACTTTTTTCCACTGTGAGGGTGCCTGAGCACTGGCACAGGTTGCCCAGAAAGGCTGTGGAGTCCCCATTCTTAGAGATTCTAGCCGTCTAGACGTTGTCCTGAGCAACTGCGTCTAGATGACCCTGCTAGAGCAGGGGGGTTGGACAAGATGACCTCTGGACATCCCCTACAACCTCAGCCATTCTGTGCTTTTGTGATTTGTGGCTTTTCCTGTTCGTGTATTACGAGAGGCAGCAATCACTGTCTTTCCCTGTGCCACTGATAATTCTGTAGAACTTTCTTAATACCATTTTCAGTCACTTTTGAATGGAGATCAGATGGAGCAGAACTGAACCATAGTACTGAAGGTAAGAGGTGCTATGGATGTGTATTGTAGCAGGGAATAGAATAGAATAGAATCACTAATGTTGGAAAAGACCTCAAGGATCATCAAGTCCAACCATCAATCCATGCCACCTAACTCACTAAACCATGTCCCTGAGCACCACATCTACATGTTTCTGGAACACTTCCAGTGACGGTGACTCCGCCACTTCCCTGGACAGCCTGTTCCAATGCCTGATCACTCTTTCAGTGAAGAAATTCTTTTCTAATATCTAGCCCAAACCTCCCCTGGCACAACTTGAGGCCATGTATATAAATATACAGTGTATGTAGATAGGTCCTGCTTTTCTTTTTTTTTCTTTGCTAACAATTCTGAACACTTGATAGCCTGCTCTATGAAAACATCAGTCAAAACTTGAAGATCCATTTTTCTTCTGGATGGTAATAATTTTTTTTTTACTGTGCAGATAACATTTTTTTCATAGCTTTACCTCTAGCAAAACTAAATTTTATCTGGCAGTTTATTAGCTTGTCACTAACTGTCATGAGATCCCTCTGTACCACTTTGTAGATGACTTTTCTTTTTATTTGATTGCTCTGAAAAACGGTTCATGTTCATCATCAGCAAATATAGTGGTCTCACATTTCCCTCTTCTCTCCTACAGGTTGAACAGCTTGAACCCTGATATAGATTTCTTTGTAGGATCATCCTGGTGACCTTTTTTCAGTGTAAAACTAACTACTCCTTCTTTTGTTTCCTACTTTAAACTGATTATTGTTCTGTAAGAGGGCTTTACAGGGCAGATTAGTTTCTTTTAGAGCCTTGGTGGAGAGACCTTGTCAGAAACAATCAGAAATGCAAAAGTTATCTTTACTGGCTTATTGCTTATAGAGCTCTGAAAGATACTGCCCTAGGGATCTAATTTTCTGTACTCTAAAATTTTAAATCCAGAATAATTTGTTGAATTTATGCTCTCTTGCAGTTCCTGCAGGACGCTACAGCTTCCTTCCCTCTTCAGTGTTCTTGGCTTGTGGAGTCATAAACCTTGGTGGAACTTTGGGTGAGATTTTCATGTTTATTGCTAAAATCCTTATTTATTTATCCTGGAAAACTGTGTTAACGTTTCTGCCGTTGGTTACAGATTTTATTCTAACAAGTATGTTAAAGAAGACTAGTAAAGGAAAAGTTTATAAAGACCAAAGAAAATAGAGTTTTGACTACTATATATGCTTTAGCCTGTAATTAACTTTGAGGCTTTCTCTAGAATAGTTACTGAAAAATAAAATTGAAAGGGAGAGAATGGAGAGAAAAGGGAAATCTAGAATAACATTAACAGAATTTGGCAGTTTTTCATATTGTCAACGCACATAGCTTAGTATACTTTTGCTGAGTTTAGCAATCTTTGAAATATAATGGGATAAAGTAGAAAATTATGACATTCCCTCCCGTTCAGGCAGCAATACCTCTAGAAAGTGGAGTTTGTATGACTCAATGAAATAATAATATTCCTTCATGATAGCATTGAAAATTAAAGGAGACATATTAATAATATTTCTTAGAAAAAATGCTGAAGGTGTTCTGGCCCTGGAAATCATCATATAGAGCTTGCAGATAGGAAGAGAATAGCTTTGCTGTGGAATGAGAGGAGCAAGTCATAGTGCTCATGTTCCTTGATGAATCCTTGTCAGCAGCCTGAGCAGACTTGCATTTGGATCGCTAGAAGTCCAACCTGGAAACATAGGTTAGACTTCGTTGTCTTACAGTTCATTTATTTGTTGGTGAAGTATTACCCAGGGAAGAGTAAACTTTTCATCCTCCATATGAAACATGCTGTCCTTGTGTTAATCCGTAAAAGCATTTTTTTCCTCCCTTCACTTTTGCCTGATGTTGATACCAAACAGAACCTGTATAAATACTGCGGACAGGTTTGTGTTACCAAACATAAGCTTCTCAAGTTAGTAGCACAAGCTTGTCACTGTGTGAAGAGATGGAGGAAGACAGATTGCCCTCTGAAGATGTCTATATCCCTCTTGTGACTGAAAAGATTAAGTGACTATTAGAGTAATCCAGAAGGAATGAGGTGAATCCCACTTTGTTTCTGGCTATGGTGATCTGTTTTTTAAAAGGGTGTAGAATCTTCCTGGTTTTCAGCTTGATCAGATGCCAGAGTAGTCTTGGAGCATTTAACTTCATAGTCCAAGATAGAGACGAGGAGCTCTATGAAGAGCTAGCACTCAAAAGGGGAGACAAGTCTCAACTCCTTTGCATTTTATTTGTCTAAGAACAGTACATGTCATAATACAATAGATGTAATAATAGTACAAGACAGTACATGTAAACTCTAAAAGGAAATGTTGCATTGTATCAGCATAACAATGAGGGAGGGAGTTCAACCGGAATGTCTAAGGATTAGATTTACAGGGAAAAAGAGGGCGTGCACAGTTAAATTATGTGGGTTACCAAGATGAATTAACAAAGACATGTCTAGACCAGTGAGAGCTTGCTGCAGGGGGGAAAGCTGTAGTGACTGAAGGAGAGCTAGTTTCCTGCACTGTGATACAAGTCAGTCACTAAATGAAACAAATTGAGAAGTACTTTAATCCTGTGGAGAAGTTATTTAATAATTAATAACAAGTTAGGATGTTTTACATGTTTTTCCTGAGGCATCTGCTGCTGATAACTGATGTAGAACCAAGGATTCTGTATTATGCAGGCTAGCTCACATAGATAGGCTTTTCAGTGCTTACCGAACAGGCAGACAGGTGATACTGATACTATTTAAGATGCCTGGAAATGTGAGTAAAGTTTCCAGATGTAGGAAATTTTAAAACAAAGTCATGAAGTTAGTTTAAAAATTATGGTAGTTATATAAAGATACTGATTTCATTTATTCACTCTTAATCGGTAAAGTTCGTTTTCAATCTCAAAAGTTTTCTAGTCCTGGTTATAGTAGAAAAAAGCTTGGTGAGTTGAGAGTATTGTACACAATTGGCGAGACTACAGGAGCAGGATCTATAAGAAAAAGACCAAATATTACAAGACTCCTGTGACTGGTGCTTAAGTAAATTGTGTTGCTCTAAAGTGTAAATATGTATTAAGAATCCTTTTGTCATTAAGGGAAGCAGAGCAATCGTTTGGTTCCCAGTGGTTTCAGAGAGTCTTTGTTTTTTTTAAATTTCTTTCTTCTTTTTCAGATGGAAACACTGACATGAATTTAAGAACTTTGAGGCTTTCAGATGTTGGATTCTGATTTGTTGAATGACCAGGAATAAGATACTGCCTGAAAAAGATAAAATGCCTTGAAGACCTTTGGTTCTGCTTACATTTCTCCTGAAGCAATGGTGTTCTCAGCAATGTTGACGCTGGCCCACTCTGGGACCTCAAATGCTACTTTTATTGTTTATGAAAATGCCTATACGAATTTTACCACTCCCCAGTTCTTGCTTCGTAGTGGCACAACGCAGCCATTGAGATATAGTTCAGGTGCCGTGCTAACCACTGAGAGAAGTACTTTTCTGGTAAACACCACAGCTGTCCTGCCATCGCAAGAAGTTTTCAGGAGCTTGAGTTTGCCACTCCAGATCATTCTTTCTGCTGCTATGATATTTATCCTATTGGTTTCTTTCCTTGGAAACTTTGTTGTCTGCCTCATGGTCTACCAGAAGGCAGCTATGCGATCTGCAATTAACATCCTCTTAGCAAGCCTGGCTTTTGCAGACATGCTGCTGGCAGTGCTGAACATGCCTTTTGCTCTGATAACAATCATTACCACTCAGTGGATTTTTGGGGATATATTCTGCAGAGTCTCTGCCATGTTCTTCTGGCTTTTTGTCATAGAAGGGGTAGCTATTCTTCTTATTATTAGTATTGACCGATTTCTCATCATAGTTCAGAGGCAAGATAAACTGAACCCTTGCCGCGCAAAGATTCTCATTGTGATTTCCTGGGCGGCATCCTTTGTTGTTGCTTTTCCATTATCAGTAGGGAATCCTAATCTGCAGATACCCTCGAGAGCGCCTCAGTGTGTTTTTGGCTACTCCACAAGCCCAGGTTACCGAGCCTATGTGATAGTTGTCTTGCTAATTTCTTTTTTTATTCCATTCCTGGTAATGCTGTATTCTTTTATGGGCATACTCAACACCGTCCGCCACAATGCAGTTCGTATCCATAGTCACCCTGATAGCATATGCCTCAGCCAGGCCAGCAAACTTGGTCTCATGAGCTTACAGAGACCTTTTCAGATGAATATTGATATGAGCTTTAAAACTCGTGCCTTCACAACCATCTTGATTTTGTTTCTTGTCTTCATAATCTGTTGGGCACCCTTCACCACTTACAGCCTTATTGCCACATTCAACAGCCACTTCTACTACAAGCACAACTTTTTTGAGATAAGCACTTGGCTCCTTTGGCTCTGCTACCTCAAGTCTGCACTGAACCCACTGATTTACTACTGGAGGATTAAGAAGTTTCATGATGCATGCTTGGACTTGATGCCCAAATACTTCAAGTTTTTGCCACAGCTACCCGGCCATACAAGGCGGCGCATTCGACCCAGTGCCATCTACGTGTGTGGGGAGCATCGCTCAGTAGTGTGAAGCTGTGGTTGTTTGACAATGATTGTTATTTTCTGGGATTATTTGTTTTTAGGCTTTAGGTTGAGTTTTGTTTTGTTTAATATGGCTTTTTCAGTGTGGCCATATCTTATAACTTGATTAAATTTTCCAGTACTCTGTGCAATTTTGGGAAGAAAGATAGAGGGAGGGAAAGTGATTGGTTATAGTTGAGTTTACTACCAGAATACAATGTAAACAAAATAACAAATGTTACCTCTAGGATTCTGTGGAAATCCATTCTTTTAAATGAAAACTACATTTGTAACATTTTGTCAGGTTATGCTTACTAGGCCTGCAATTGCATCTAATTGTAGGGACTTTTTATGCTGCTAAGATATGGTATATTTAGTTGGTGTAATTTTTCTGAAAAATGTTGCTGCTGTCTGCCAATATATTAGAGCCAAAAAGTCTCGTTAGATTACTTCTATTTAATTTTAACAATATCTCAGAAATTTTCATGATGACACTAGAAAACTTTCTTCTTTTTTTTAATATTTCCATTAATATTTTTGTGCACTTTACGGAGTTTACTGTAGAATTTGTTCATTGGAATACTTTGTTCTGTATTGAAGGGGTATTATTATTATTATTTGTTATATTGGTGAATTTCAATGAAAGACCTGTGTAAGCTCTAGGAGGGCAATTTATGTTGGTATAGCTACACATACAGTCATAGATTTGCAGTTTTTCTAACAATTGATCAAAAGTAACATTAAGTGCTCAGTTATCAGGGAAGTTGGAAGGAGAAAATGGAGGAATGAAAGGGAAAGAAAGTAATGAAATACCGTGTCCTGAGGTTTAGGCTAACACAAGATTTAGAAAAATAGTGTTCATGTGAAAATTGTCACGGGGGAAAGGGTGGCTATAGTTGTTACTTTAGGCTGTTGCAAGCTATTCAGACCTGATAGTATGCCTGAAAACTGGCCTGAAATTGTGATTGTGGGCCTACAATTTACAGTGTGTTGGTATAATGCTGTTTCTGCTGGGAGCTGGCTGGCTAGGCTAGGTGTGCTCTACACTGCTGTCAGGCATTCGCTGAGATAGAAATAGTAAGGTAAACCAGCAAACAAATAGCACATGAACCATAGTTAAGGCTAGGACTTAGTCTACGTAGAAATGACTGGGGAAAAAAGTCCTCAACTTGCTTGTTGCCAGTTTAAGTGTTAGGTGGAAACCATAAACTGGTAACAATGAATAACAGTTGGCCAGCAGAGTTTGCTGGGGATGTAAGTTGAATTCCCCTTTTTTCTATGATACTACTTTATATTGATTTTTCATTGCACATTTTCCTCTCTGGTGCCAGCTGCCTCAAGAGTTTACTCTGCTGTTCTCATCTCTTAAGCGTCAGCTTCTCTCCCTGAAATGCCAAACCACCTTTCTGATTAATGTCAGGCTGTCTCAGTACCTGCCTGGAGAGCAGAAAGGCAAAGGTTTTTCTCGATGATAGCAATCCAGACTCAGATTTCTTTTTTTTTTTTAATCAGCTAAATATTGAATGTGAGGTAGGTAAAATTAAGACTTAGGTTTGGGCTTTGAAGTGAGATCTCCAGTTGCTCTGAGGCTGGGGAAGAATGCATGCAGAATTTGTGCATCCTTGCAGTGGGCTTTTTGACGCTGTCTGTAACCGAGTACAGGAGGATTAATGTACAACAAACTTACCAAACAGGGCTAGGGTTTGGGCTTCTCTTGCTTCTGTCTCTCAGTACCCCAAAGCATGGGGACCTCTTCATTATTCTTGTATTTGAGTAGCAAATAATAGCAATTTTATCTATTTCTGCACACATTTCAAACTGAGTGGATGAAGGAAATGCACTGTACTCTCTGGATGTCCAGGGACTGCTCGCTTGCTAAAGCAAACTGAACATTTATACTCCAGATTTTATTTAGGTCTTCAGTGAAGAACTAATTTAACAGTCTCTCTGTTCTTCTCGCTGACAACTATGGGTAAAAGTGTTGCCAGTATTTAAGTTTTAGGAACATAAAAGGATCAATTTTGAATTTAGTAATTTCATTTTTTTAAAAAAAGCTGCTAGCTGAGGTGGTGGGTTACATGTAGAGACATCCAGGCAGAGGTGATGTTCTTGATGTCCGTGCTTTCCATTCCTTGTCAACTTTGCTGTGGACAGTGTGGATTTTTCTGATCAAAATGACAGTCAGTAAAGGAGTTCCACTATAGCTTTTATTTCTCAATTACATTTACATGGATAGCGGAAGCTTATGACCTGGTTAGTATGGATCTTCTGTTTCAGAGCTGTCATGCCTGTTTATCTCTGAAAGCAGCAAAATTATGCTTGGAACTAACGTTATATATAGTGAGAGCATATACTTTGTCTAAGATGGCAGGAACAGGTATTTTTGCTGTCTTTCAGAGCTATAATGTAAGAAGTTTGAATGAATGTTGTAAAACATGGTAATTCAAGAAGGAAAGAAGATCAGTAATACAGGAAAGTAGTGAAATTACTTTCTTGAAGGGAGGGGAAAACATTTTGTGAGGATTCCATAATCTCCGATAAGTACTGGTTGTGAAGTAGAAATTGCAAACATCAAAAGTTAATTTGTCTTGATAATTTAGTGTTTGTTTACACTGAGTGTTTCTGCTCAGAGCTGCATCTGATGATACTTGGAGAAAAAAATCCACAAATTGTGTGGGCCAAATTCAGAGGTGACTTACATGGTGATACAGTATTCACACTTACCAGCTTTTAGAGGTGATTGGAGCATACAGTGAACAAAAGGGTGTTCAAAAAAAGAAACAAGGTGGCATAGAAATATCCCCAGGGTGATTATATGTTTACAGAACCATCTGGCCTATTGTGTTTAATATACTGTCTTTCGAGCAGTGCCTTGATAATTACAGTCCTAGGACCAAGTTGAAGACTGCTAAACTGCTCAGTCTTGCTGTCAGTGATCCTGCCAAGATCCACATAACCTTACTAACATTTGTAGTGTTAAAACACATTGGCAGTTAAAACACAGTGTTGGCAGGATTTGGGCTACTGAGACATTTTAGTGGGCTTGACCAAGACCAAGGATTTTAAAAACTGAAATTGATCCTTCTTCCTTCTATTGCGCAATTATAATACTTTTCATCTCCAGAAATGATACTTGTTAATAAAATGTATTCCCTCATATTACATTTTCAGTAATCTTTGGTATGGAGGATTGAAATGAATGTATTTTGGATTATGTTGCAGTTTAATTCATTCTGTCAAAGCATGCTGCTTACACAAATCTAATTTGTACAAATCTATAGCTAAAATTATTCTTTTGAGCTCAAAGTTGTGTATTTTTTGACATTTCTTGTTACTTGTGTAAAAGTATTTATGTACATAGAGAAGACAATTGTTCTGCCTCGTATTGCTTTCTGTTACTATTTTTTTTCACTTGTAATGCTTTCATATTTTCTTTTGTTTGGGCACATGCATAAACAACTGCCAGATTTCAGTGATCTTTCTGCAACCATTTGAGATTTTTAATTCTCAAATCATTTAACAGTGCCCTTCTTGAAAGAGATTTTGATTTATTTTTATGTGGAAAAATGAAAACTCAGAGCACAAGTTTGTTGCAGTTGGAATGTGAGGAATTTCTTAAGTCCTGTTTTCCAGGAGCCACTATTTTGCCATTATGAACTGGTTTGATCTTTTTTTGATGAACAGTCATTTACTGACGTGGAGAAACCTTGAATTCCTCTTTTAAAAAAAGCTGTTAAGTTATGATGGCATTCTCTTTTCTGTACATATTACACCTGCGAAAATACCTGAGAAACAAAAAAAGAAAAAGAGAAAATAAACATGAACATTCTCCAAAAGTGTGGCAAAAGTGTATAGAACTGCTCTATCTTTGTGCATTCACAGGTTTCTTGGATTTAATGCCCACCTTTATACTTTATTTTATCTGTGTATTAAGTAACAAAGATTGTTTGCCTGATTTAGATGGTTTTGTTTAAGCCAAAATGTTTCTTGTGTAAAGAATTTACAGAATGCTCTCTTCTGAGACATTGGAGTAGAGATGTGTGAATGTATCCAAAACAAATGAAATACTATGCAGCAAAAGAGATAAAGCCCAAAAAGAAAAGAACTTTCCTAAAAATACTACCTGAACTGGGTGTACTGCCTTTTATCTAGGACTGAGTAATTAAGATCATCTTACTGTGCAAGAAATAGAACAGGCAGTGGTACTGCATGGCATGATTCATTTCAACACAAGACAGTGACCTTTATGATTCAAGTGCTGCGTGTTTGTATGTGATGGATTATTCTCCATATTAGTAGAATGAAAAATGTTCAGCATCTTGGCTGTTTTGGGGAAATTTTTCAATTGGCTAATGATTTAGCAGGAATTCTGCCGGAGTAATTTCTCTAAATGATAGTGAGTTGAGGCAGTATTTCCAGTTGTTTGGGAATGGCCTTGCTCAGCTGCCCACATGCCTAATTTTGAGACTCCCTCCCCGTAGATCTGAAATAACCACTTCTTCCTCCCTTCTCCTCTCCTGGTCCTCTCCACCTGCCTGAGGTAGCGCCTTCTGCGTTGCTTTGTTGCAGCAGGTATGGTGGTGGCAGGAGATGCTGGTGCTGATGGTGGGGGAAGGTGGAGGTGCCTGGAGAAGCTGCAGAGCCAGCAAGCCTCCTTTACCTAGTGCCACTTCTTCCCATGTTGAGTATGGTTTGGAGCATGCGTGATGGGCTGAGGGTAAGTTTTACCTCCTTTGGCTGTAAGATTAGGGCAGTCAGGGAAGAGCTGTTAGGAGCACATGTATTTACCTTTAGTGCATAATTCTGGTTCTATCCCCAGTAGTGGTACAGGTTTTATTCCACACCTGGCTTTCAGTAGCTGAGCTGCAACAGTCTATAGCCAACTCAAGGCTGAATAAGAATCCCTTAGCTGTGTCTCTGTGAGGGCACAGGACCTGCTCGTGAGCATCCAACAGAACAAAAGTTCCTACAGCTTGCTTTGAAACAAAAATGGCATTCATGACAATCACA